CAAAAAAAAAAAAAAGAAAAAAAAGAGCAATGGGGGGGGCACTAGGTGGTATGGTGGTTAAGGTGCTAGACTCTCACACGGATGACCATGGTTCGACCCCGGGACCTGGCAGCTTGGAAATCACACCAGGAATGTGTGTGTGTGTGCATGAAATCCCAAAAGTAGAATGGAGAAGGGATTGTGGTTTGGCCATCCCCACTGGGAGGTGATTTCTCACTTTCTCTCTCTCTCTCTGTCCTCTGACTCTCTTTACCAAGCACATGTGCCCCACATTGGAATCACTGGTGGAGTTTGTTTGTTTGTTTTAAATCTCTACATCTAAGACATTTCCCAAACTAAATCAGAATTCCTAGAGTAAATGGAAGCATCGGTATTTATTTAAAAGTTCTAAGGTAGGGCCAGCAGATGGCGTAGTGATAAAGGCGCTGGACTCCCACACAGACAACCACAGTCTCAAGCCTGGACCTGGCAGCTGGAAATTCACACCAGACACGTGTGTGCATGCCTAATCCTGGGAGGAGAATGAAGTGAGTGCAGCATGGCCATCTCTCATGGAGGGTGATTTCTCACCTTTCCCCTCACTGTCTCCCTATCTCTGTCCCTCTCCAGTGAGCGCGTCTGCCCTATGGCAAAAACCTTTAAAAAATAAATAAATAAAATAAAAGTTCCAAAGTTATTCCAAGTTTGAGAACCATGCTTCTCACCCTTGACTATTACATCATCACTTGAGAAGCCTTTACCAACTAGCCCTGCAAGGTAGTGCAGAGGATAGGGTACTGAAACTGCAGTGCTGGAAGCCATATGGCAACTGCAGTTTGAATCCCTGGCTCAGCTTTCCTGAAATGCACTAGGCATTCAGGAAGTGCTTCAGATATAATGAACTGGAGGAAGATTGCAGTGTAATCAAATTCTGTGGAATATGCTCCTCCCTCCAACATGGGCATGCATATGAATGAAGAAAAATAAAAATCAAAGACTGATCTTTTTTTTTGGAGGGGGGGGTAGAAGGGACTGTGGTGTGGCCATCCCCACCAGGGGGTTATTTCTTGCTTTCTGTCTTTCTGTCTTTCTCTTTCTGGCACGTGCGCTTGAGTCCCTGACCCAGTGGCTTAACCTCAGGCAGATGTGTGTGTAAACCCCAAATCCCAAAAGAAAATGGAGAAGGGACTGCAGTATGGCCATCCCCTCAGAGGGTGATTTCTTGCCTTCTGTCTCTTTGGCGATTGCACATGCCCTATAGCAAAAATCTCTTTACGAAAAGAAAGGAAAAAAAAAAAAAAAGCTCTCAGATGACCTTCATACATTAGCCAGGCTTTGGAACTACTAGGTCATGCCACAAAGGTATACATTTGGCTCTACTCAAGCAATTGTCACAAACCTGAAACATTTCCCAAACTATGCTCATGCCACTGAAAACCTGAACTTGCATTGTTTTCTTACTTCAAATGTAATCGTTTAAATTATTTTTTTTATTTTTTGTTGCAGGGCATGTGCACTTGAGAGAGAGAAATCACCTCTTAGGGCAGATGGCCATGCCACAACCCCCTCTTCTCCAGTCTCCTTGGGATTTTGTCCACGCGGGCACTCGTGCCCAGAGTGATTTTCAATCTACTGGGTCCAAGAATTGAAATGCACAGTGGGTTTCCAGCACCTCAATCTGCCTGCCACCTGCTGGTCCATATTTTTTTTATTTTAACGTATAAATCATTCTGTTTTAGTTTAGTTGTTCGAACTATAGTTGAATCAGAAAACAGAAATAACCTTTGGTGTATGATGATAGTTTGGATGTGTTTTTGTGCTTAGACTATAACTATGCTGACATGTGGCTTAGTCAAGAACATGGTCAAAAACAAAGTATAAAAAAACTTTGGCTCCAATAATAAAAACAAATTGTGTTCATGGATACAATTCTCAACAATTCTAGAAGAGTTCTAGAACTGAAGTAATCATCAGAAAGAGACTGAAACTAGCTAATTCCATAACAACATTCTCCCCCCACTCTCAAATTGTGAAGTCCTCTCTCATTAAGTTTTTCTCATGGGAAATATAATCAAGAGAAGCAGCAGAGACCTGGTCATTGACAGTGCCAAGTCACTGAAAGATGGCCCATCCACAGAACTTCACACTAAACTCTATAAAGCCATAATGCAAGAAGACTGCACTATGATTAAGGCGCTCCTAAGAAATCATCCCATCAATGAGCCCATCATCATTCAGGCTGAGTCCACCCGCTACAGACCACTTCTCGACCAGGTACACTCTTTTCTGCTCACTCATTGTTAGGGTGTTTTGTTTTGTTTTGTTTTGTTTTAATTAGCCAGAGGGCATGTACTCTTGCCAGTAAGAGAGACAGAGAAAGCACTACCTATAGGGACTAGTCATGCCCCGAATCCTCCATTTCTCCGTCTTGTTGAAATTTGGGACATGCACACACAACTCCTGGTATGTTTCCCAAGTCTCATAGTCTGGGACTCGAAACACATGACTAGTCATGTGAGATCCATCTGCCTTAACCACTAGACCACGGGCTGGCCCTCTCTGTTCAGTTACTTTTCGAAAAAAGATGGGATCTTAGGAAGGAACACCACCAAATGCTTAGAACACAGTAAACTTCCTCACTGCCCTTGAAATGCATGAGTCTGGAGTCAACTGCATTCCAAGTCCCCAACCCAGCAACTTAAAACTCACACTGGGCACCTGTGCATGGATGTCCAAGATCCCAAGAGGAGAATAAAGGAGAAGGGATTGTGGCATGGCCATTTCCCTAGGGGGGGGGATTTCTCCATTTCTGTCTCTCTGTCTCTGTTTCTCTGGTGAGCGCATGAGCCCTACAGCAAAAATCTCTCTCGAAAATGAAAAAAAGAAAGACTGGCACAAAAGGACCAGTGGATAGCATAATGGTTATGTTGCTGCACACCCACATGGCTGGCTGTGGTTCAAGTCCCAGACCCAGAGGTTTGAAACTCATGCCAGGCACACACCAAGCATATCTGTATCCAAGCCCTTAATTCCGAGAAGAGATTGGAGAAGGAATTGCAGCATGGCCATACCTACCAGGGGGTGATTCCTCACTTTCTGTCTCTCAGTCTCTCCAGCAAGCACATGCAAAAATCTCTCTTAATAAGGGGGGGGGAAGAACTGGCACAAGGGCCAAAAGGTGGTATCGTGGTTAGGGCTCTGGACTCCCATATGGTCAACTGTGGTTCAAGTCCCAGACCTGGTGACATGTTTTCTCATTTTCTCTCTTTCTCTCTGTCTCCCTCTGGAGATAAGAAATTAAAATTAAAAAACAGTAACGGGGCCAGCAGGTAGCATGGTGATTAGGGCACTGGACTTCCATATGACCTAGCAAGGTTCAAGTTCCAGACCTGGCTTTCTCACTTCCCTCTCTCTGTCTCTTTCTGGTAAGTGCATGTGCCCTGTAGCAAACTGAAAAATAATAATGGTAAGTGAAGTTAAATAAATAATTCTTTAAAAAATAATAATACTTGGGGCCAGCAGGTGGCATGGTAGTTAAGATACTGAACTCATACATGGCCGACCTGGTTCTAGTCCCAGACCTGGTGGCTTGCCTTCTCACTTTCCTGCACACTCTCTGTCTCTCTCTGTAGTTCTTTTAAAAAAAGAACTGGCACAGGGAACCAGCAGTTAGCGTAATGGCTATGTCGCTGGACTCCCACGTAGTCGACCACGGTTCACATCCCGGACCCGGTGGCTTAAAACTCACGCTGGGCACGTGTGCGTGCGTGCCCAAAATCCCGAGAGGAGAATGGAGGAGAAGGGATTGCGGCGTGACCATCCCCCCTGGGGTGTGATTTCTTGCTTTCTGTCTCTATGTCTCTGTCTGTCTGGCGAGCGCACGCACCCTATAGCGAAAATCTCTCCAAAAAAAAATAAATAAATAAAATAAAAATAGAAAAAAAAGAACTGGCCCAAACAGCACAGATAACCATACAGATCATATGCTGTATTATATTTGAAAACAAAGAAGAGACAGGTCTTACTGCTGATAGTATGTTTGGTAAAGTCTTAAAACATGCATCTACTTGTCAATCACTCTATGGTTTAATTTAAAGACTCAGTGACTACACAACAATTATCATTAATTTTACATTATGAGCTCTTCACAAAGACAAATTTCAAAGCTTTGCGTTATTGAGTTGCCTTGGTAAATTTGCATTTCTGGGGCTGGCCCATGGTGCAATGGTTGGCATGGCTGTATCCCACATACCCAACTGCTTGGTTTGAGTTCTGGGTCTGCAGCTTAAGAAACATGCCAACACATGTACATGTTGGCCCAAAATCTCAAGAGAAGAATGGAGAAGAGACTGTAGCATGGCCATGACCTCTAAGGGTTGCTTTCTCACTTTTCCTTTCTCACTCACTCTCTCTTGCTGGTCTCTCTCTCTCTCTCTCCTCTCTGCTTTGGGTTGGAGCTTTGTCCCCCAAGCAAAAAAAAAAAAAAAAAAAAAAAGAATTTCTGTAAAATACAGATTTTACAATAAGAAATTCAATAGGTTTTAGTCATTTAAAGTAAGCAATAAAAATTTCCTCTCTAATGAGTCCACACATCCTGCCAATAAAATCATAATAATAAGGATTTTTAAATTTTAAAAAAGAGACAAGTGGGGCAGAGGTTATCGTGGCTAGATCCCCATGGCTGACTACATATGGTTTGAGTTCCAGACACAGTGGCTTGAAAATATACCAAGTGTGTGTGCTTGCACGCCCAAAATACCAAGAAGAGGATGAAGAATTATGGTGTGGCCATTTCCCCCAAAAGGGATGACATCTCAATTTCCCTCTTTTACTTTCTCTAGTACTCTCCAGCAAGTACATGCACTCTATAGCAAAATTTAATAAATTAAAAAGTGGGCCAGCAAGTGACATGGTGGTTAACACACTAGATTCCTACAC